CAGGAGGAGTGAGGTATGCAACGTCTGTATATGTCCTCCACATCGACATGGCGAGGTCAGTGCCCTTCATCTTCGTTCTCTGGCGCCAGCTAAGCGAGGATTGGTTCGGGTTCTTTGTCTTGAAATTGAAGATCGGAGCTCGTTTTTTTGAGGTGGATGCTTGCGATGACTTTGTTTTCCGATGTGATTGTGCACATCTCCGTACCTGTTCTGTGACAATATCGTCGGTCTATCTGTATTTTTCTCTGCCCTTTAAGCAGTCCTCTGGCTGTTATCTCGTCTGTTGTCAGCAGAGTGAATGTGGCCGTAATCGTGTGCAAGGGCATTGCTGAAAGTCCTATATTAAATACGCGCGGCCGAGCAGCACTCCACAGAGGACATTTCTGTGCCTCGTTGTCTCGCCCATATTACGAAGATCAACCTGTCCCTGGTGACGCCGTACCCATCGGGCTCGATGCTCTTGAGGCAGTACCGGATTTGTTCTGCCTGATTCTTGTTCCCTCGTATTCTGTTTCTCCACCCTATCAAAACTCAGAGGAGGCTAAGAGGCTGCTGCCTTTCCCCGTACGCAACGACCCCTCATCGTGACCGTATCCCATCGGAAAATAGCTTGTATGCATTCATAATCAGGGTGCGTTGAGCTCGGSGGAAGACGATAGCAGCCTRCAGCTCGGGTTGTCAGWACCTTGATCGCCTGCCACATAATTTAGCGAACCCACACCTGCTGGCAATCACCGTCCATCGATGACGACTTGTAACTTGTAAGCCGTACAAATCTCACCCTATTCACCGCTGACTTTTTTTCTGTGAGGCCTTTTCGTAGTTTCTGGAGGGAGAACTGGTGATGCAGCCACTGCAGACGGCACTTCACATACTTCATCGCGAAGACTGAGGGCCTTTTTGCCGAGTCAGCAGAATAGGCATGTTGCCATATTACGCAAAACCCTGAGGAGAAGAGCAAAGTGAGAGAGGTTATTATTATGACTGTAATGCATGCAATTTTGACGTGGCCAGAGAAACCACGAGGCTTCCTTCGCTGCGCCCATCTTGCGTCCTTCCGGCCTTGTCTTCCCACCAGGGTTCCAATTTTGGCGGCATCTCGGCGCACTGTGCGTGACCCCGGCTGTTTGGCAAATTGACAGTCGCAAATTTTCAGCTAGACGTCACTGATCACTACTCCGCGTGGAAAAAGAGCGAACCTGGGCTGGCCTGTTGTAATCCTGGACAGTCTATCTCGATAGAGCAACATCCTTGTCCGCTGGTGGGAGCGAAGTAGCTGTGTAGCCAGTCCAGCATCTATCCTGGTTGCAGGTCGGCTGAGGAAGCCGGAGCGCAGCAGCCAGCAGTACCCGGGGATGAGGAGATCACACAACGAATTGCTCCCTCCCCGTTCAACGACAAATCGAGAACTTTATCGCTGATGAGGAGATCACACAACGAATTTTGCTACGTGTCTAGCTGATTCTGCTTTGCACAGCTGCATCGTCAGCAAGGCCGCAACGGCTTTGTAGACCTGCAACGACCGTCTAGGCCTGCAATGACTCTCTCGGCCTGCGAAGGCTGCGATGACTACGTAGGCCAGGCCTCTAATGGCCTATCTACTATGTCTGAATTTCGTACTGACCTCGATTGGGACGCGCTTCTGATCCTTGGTTTTCTCTCGTCATGGTCGGATTGTCAGCGTACTGTGTGTGGGTGCGTTTGTGTTTTCTTCTACTGTTCTTCCTATCCTATCCTACATGACATTGCGAAGCAACGAGTTGGACTAAGTCTTGTCCCTTCGAACCTGTGTTCAACCTTACAGGCCTTGATCCCGAAACAGAGTAAACCAACTGCCCACCTTGTCCTTGGCGTGGAAACCTTGTGCGAAAAAGTCTAAAGTTTCCTTCTTTTTTTTTTTCCACCAAAAAATTTGGGCCATCTCTCCATTCATGGCATTTTTTTGGGGTGTCATACTTGCGCAGGGTTCATGCTAATTACCCTTCTGGGTGTGGTACTTCTTTTGTTTCCGCACTCGTGTGGCAAGGCCCCTGTTTTAACATGCAGACCTTTTTTTTTTGGAAAAATTGCATATGTACCCCACTGAAAGATGCCAATACCCGCTATATCCATTCCCCGCGCTACCTTGCATCTACACCCCAGGACCCAGACACCGTTCAACTTTGCATAGTACTACCCCTGTGTGAAATTGTAGGTGTACCCAATCCCGTAGGCCCTGGATTCTGGAGCACCTAATTATGCTGATGCCCACCAAGTAGACTGTTGTCCCCCAACGGCTGCTGGGTATGAGCATAGTTCCAGCCATCGGGTAGCAGTGTATATAAAACAGGGACCCCACAGGACCGCGGAAAGGAAAAACTTTGCCGCAAAGCTGTTTCCAGGACCCCACGGCCTGCCGCAAATGTCCTGGAAAAGGTGAAATTTCTTCCGCAAACCCTTTTCCAGGACCCCACAGACCGAAGATTGCGGCTTGGAAAAACATCAATTTGTGTTTTCACATAGTCCGCGGCCTGGAAAAGTCTCACGGGAGGATTCCTCGCCACAATTTTGTGCCGGCTGTAGAGGGTAGGGGGGAGGGCATGTTGGTCCTGGAAAAGTCTCGGAAAAGGCAGCAGCCAATAGAGATGAAGAGTGCCACAAAAAAAAAAAAAAAAAAAAGAGAAAACTACGGTGCAGTCAGGGTTACAGTTTGTAATTGGATTTGAAACTGCGTTTTAGAAGTTTGGTCAGGGCCCGGGTTTCAATTGCATTTAACATGTTATTCGTTAAAACAGTACATTATTCAATGATTATTGTGTGTACTATTTTGAAACGAATTTATGACAGTGTATAGTCTGGTGTAGTATTCCAGATCCGGATACATTCGAACAAGGAGTAAAGCAACTTTGAGGCGAGGAGCACAGTCAGTACATATATCCGCTGCACTCCTCTCGTGGGTCGGATGTGTCCAGATGTGGAACACCACAGCAGAGTATACACTGTGCTATACGCCTCTGAGTCAGTACATATATCTGATACCACTCTGTTATATGTACTGCTGCCTCAGTACATATATCTCCTGTGTCCAGATGTGGAACACCAGAACAGAGTAATATATTATACTATGTCATAGTTTCACTTGGAGTTGAGCATCCCACTTATCCGAATCAGAACAGTATAATGACACAAACTCGAGTTGTGAGTAAAACGAGTTGTGGCTCTTTACAGACTTAGAGGAGTAGGATGACCTGTATTTAGAAGTGTGAGGACTAGAATGAATTGGAGTTCTGTACAGATGATCGTGTACATGTATAGAGCGAGAGAGATAGAAAGAGAGAGAGAGACAGAAAGAGCGAGAGAGAGAGAGACAGAAAGAGCGAGAGACAGAGAGTCTTAGAGAGACTGTACTTAATTTTCAGGAGACGCAGGGTCGAGCACACGCGTAGACCATCAGCCTCGTTTTTTAAAGCATTTCAAACGATCGTTGTAGGAGAGCAGCAAGGTAATGTGAATCTCCAAGATAAGAGAAGCTCTGATGTATCCGAGATCACATGAGATAGACAGACAGAGGAAGTCTGCAAGAAATGGTCGTGTACATTTGAAGAGCGAAAGATATAGAAAAAGAGAGAGAGAGACAGAAAGAACGAGAGACAGAGTGTCTCAGAGAGACTGTGCTTAATTTTCTCGAGACGCCGCACGGACAACGCAGGGTCGAGCACACGCGGAGATCATCAGCCTCGCTTTTAAAAGCATTTCATACGACCGTTGCAGAAGAGCAGTAAGGCAATGTGATTTTCCCAGATAAGCGAAGTTCGGATATATCCGAGATCACAGGAGATTGACAGAGAGGAAGCCCGCAAGAAATGACATATTAGCACGCCAGAGGGCTGAGAGATGGAAAAGACAAGCACCGTATAGTCACCCACAACATTTCGTGTCACGAACGTATCCGAAGTGTCGAACTAGTATAGACCCTTCAGTTTGAAGTTTCCTCTGTGCTTTTTGGGACACAGTTCAAGAAGTATCTTTTGCGAAACTGAGAGAGAGAGAGAGAGAGAGAGAGAGAGAGAGAGAGAGAGAGAGAGAGA